TTGTAATACAAAAGGAAACATTCACGGCAAATCACGGCTCTTTCCCTCAGGATTTTCTCAAGGAATTCAGACCGCACGACGTGTTTCACAAGGTCCAGAGGATCTCAGTTTGAACACATTAATTACTTTTTAAAACTTAATTCTAACCTTGTAATATATAAATCCCTGTAGCTTCACGAAGTTAATGAGCGTAGTACTGAATCTCTGTGAATCCTTTCGCAACAGATATCCGGCTCTATGTCCCCTACGCGGTCGCTGTTCGTCACTCTGCGTAAACCGGCATTTTTAAAATAAATAACCGCTAGGTAGCTGGCGAAAAACGAAGCTTTCCGAGCGAAGCCGGGAATCATTTACTGTTCGACGATCATGGCATCTTACGAGCTCTTAGTCTTCAGCACTGCAGTCTATACCTTACGTAACGCAACTGTAACGTGAGGATAATTAAAATTAAAATTGTCGAAGATTTTAACGAGTTTTTCAGTTCGCAAACTGAGCAAACTTAAAAGTTTCAAACTCCTCTGGACCCTGTGCGTGCACTCGCTTGCTTTTGGTTTCCATAGTTACGTCATTTACACTACAAAACGTTTGGACGCACAAAGGAACAAGCAAACAATTCGTAACCGTTCATTATCAAGTTTCAAAATGCAATCTCAAAGTCATGAATTCTCATACTTTCTGAACTACGAAAAAGATTTAGAATCCCTGGCAGAAGATTATTTTAGCACTAGACCAGCAGAAGCGGAAGATGATCAACTGTACGACTACGGTTCTGACAGCAGCGACGAAACTGATCAGGAAATTGACTCCGATGTTGACTTTAACTTTTCGGAGTGTGATTTATCTGAGGGATCGAAAGTGCACGCATTTGCGGCCAAAACATGTGGATGTGCTCATGGAGATAATGCAGATCCATGCAGCTCTACCACTGAAATGAAGACATCGTCGATTGCCGAAACAACTGTGCGGAACTTTCCTCAACTGAACTCGATCTGGTAATTTAAAAGCATTATGGGTCGGTTAATTGATCAGAGTTTAGCCATTGTTCAACAAATCCGCGTTCTGAGTTATTTTGATTTTAGCTTATCCTAGCATGTAAACATTGCTAATTATAAAGAGAGTAAAGAAGGCATAAAACTCAACCTAGAAAATCATTTACCTGCCCAAAATAATGCATTTACAAACAGGTTAGGTGACGACAGTCAAAGGAATCTAATAGACTGTCTGTTAATAAGAAAAGGGTATATTAGATATTTCATTATTTTGTAAACTCTGTCCCTAGAAAGAAAAAAAAGATGACGCTACCACTGCACCACATGCACTGTCGTACTTGTTGGTTTACAAATTTAAAAATATAAATAAATAATGTCTCGTGGACTAGCAGAACGGACAAAGTCAGTGAGAACACAGTTTACCCTTAAGCCGTTTGCTTTGCATCATACAAGCTCGCTCTTATTATTTTAAAAGCTTGTGCTCAAAAGTTCATGCACGATTTCATGAGCAGAGTATTTTGCTCGTTCGGCCCGTGTTTCACAAGCTGTTTTAAGAAAATGAGGAATTCGAAAATGAAGGAAAAAACTCAACCACATTTTTAAGTGATGGACAACAAGTCGAGATATTCCTTTATGCTTGGCGAATTATTGTACTGGATACTGAGTATCGTATATCGGCCAGGCGTATCGATGAAAGCCTTAAAGCTTAGGACGTACTTCTTGTACAAATAGAAAGCAACTTTAACTTTAAGAAGCTTGTCCTAAAATTGGCACGGTCACCGTGTCATATCGTGCGAAGTTGCGAGTAAGATCTTAACACGTTCCTTTGTTTGTACCGTGCGAAGCAAGGCAATGTCTGCGAAGTTAATGAGGCAAGTAACTTATAAGCAGCTAACGTGTTGAAATCTCGCTCTTTTGTTTTAGCGTGCTGGTGTACCGTAAGTGTGCGTTCACCTTATTCCCTGAAATCCCGTGGAGGGTCACATATTACTTATATCACGTTTAAACTTCACTGGCTACCTTTAAACTATCGCATACATTTTAAATATTGCTTTTAGTGCACAGGTGCCTTAATGGCTCGACATCAACTTTATCTATCTGAACTTTTACATTACCATAACAATCCACGTTTACTTCGTTCTAGTTCTCAGAATCTTTTGGCTGTGCCTAGATCCAGGTTAAAGACGTATGGCGATAGAACTTTTTCTGTAGTTGCTCCTAGGCTATGGAATCAATTACCTTGAACTCAGGAGCGTTACCTCTGTTGACCAGTTCAAGACGCCGTTGAAGACATACTTATTTAAATTGGCTAATGATATCTAGTTTTTAGTGGTGTAGTTTAGTTAATTTCATTATAACAGCTTCTAGGTTTTGTATTTTGTAGTTTAAGCATTGTTGTACAGCACTTCAAGAAATTAGTGGACAATAGTGCTCTATGGGTGTTTTATTGTTGTTATTTATTACTAAAGGTCCCTAATAGCGATCGACTGTTTTCAAACTTCTGAGATAGAAAGTAAGACTACCTCAGTACATTTCAAACTCATGAAGTTAAACTAGTGAGTAATTCACGAGTTTGTTTTTGATGAGCTGTCACAATTATGATCAATGATTGGACAGTTGTTACTTCTGGCTCTTACTTGGTGTAGAAGACACAGTATACGTCACAATAGCATGTCATCACAATCGGGAATAAGAAATATGAAAACAATAGAATGACGTACACTGCGTCTTCTTCACCAAGTAAGAGCCCTACTTCTCGGGCATGATAAGCCAACTCAACAATTAAAAAGGTAGCTGATGGGCTAATTTTGTCCTAATCAGTTCGTTCCAGATTCTTTTTCGGTGTTCCAAAAAGGTTTCAGCCTGTGTTGTGAGTAACTTTAAAAGCTTCACTCTTATCCTTAATAGACAAGAAGCGATTTTATATGAAAGAATCTCGCCGATAACCATCTAAATGGATCAATACAAGAAGTTATTTATACCAAATAGATAAAAAATGTGAAATCAATTTCTTTGAAGCAAAATATAGTGACAGAGAAAGGCGTCTTTCCTCTTGTCACGAGCATGGGACAAAAATTCTAAATCCCCGTGAGGAATCGAACCCCAAACCTTCGGATTCCGCGCTACCATGCTCTACTACTGAGCCACAGAGACTCTATGGTGAGTGAGGTCTATTTCGAAGTTCATATAACACGTCCTGCATACTGCTAGGATCAACGATGTCGATAGTGTCATGTTTGTAAGAAAGATGGTAAGTTTTGAACTCAGTGAAGAAATAGAGATCTTTTTCGTCTTGTCAAGAGCGTAGGACAAAGAAAAAATTCTGAGTCCCACATGCGGAATCGAACCTCACACCTTCAAATTCCGCGCTCCGATACTTTACCACTAAGCCATAGAGAATCTATGGTGAGCGAGGCCAGGAGCCCATCACTTAATCAAGTAATGGGCTACTGGCGAGGCCCAATACGAAGTTCATGTGTGACAGTCCCCATATTTGTTATTTGAAAAAAAAACAAACAAACAAAAAACCGCCCTCTTACTACTGTAAGGAGCAAATTACGTGAATACCCCCTCCCCCTGACTTTTTTTACATAAAGGATCAGTAAGTCGTAATCGACGGGGGGAGGAGTCGAAAGGTTTTTCCTTTTTTGGGGGAAGGGGATACACGATTTTAAAGAGGACTAAAGGGGGATCAGTCGTCACCAACAGAATATAAAGGGGGCACTTTAGGAAATTGAATGGCAATAAACTGCCAATGAGGGGGGGGTCATAAGAATGATTCAGAGGCTTGGGGGGGGGGGGGGGGGAATCAGGTAAATTCTATCGTGACATAACTTAAATCCTTTGACCCTCCCCCCCTAAAACCGGTCCCTATATTCTTCATATAACTTTGAGGAATTCTAAGAAGGGGAAAGAAAACTAGAATAAAACTAAGTGTTGCTCCACTTGTACAGCATGTCTACGCTTGATGAGCTATGGATATCTTCATTTTATTAGATCAGCTCTACAACAGATAAGTTACAACATTTAAAGTAGCAAAAAGAAAGGAATCAAAATCATTGGCGTAATATCGATATCGGCTTTTCCGCACTCAGAACAGTGGGGGTTACTTTCATGTTCCTCTGCTCTGTAGATTCAAACCTAATTTTAATATTATAAGACTTGGTAGCCATATAATGAAATGCTTATCGACTTAGTTTTGTCGAGTTTGTGGGGAAAATATTTGGCTCTCGGTCATGACGCATGTACCTCACTGCGATTAGTCCTTGGCAAGATCATGGCCTCGAGCCAAATATTTTCCCGTCTGGCCCTTCCACATAGTCTAGTAGTACATAATATCACTATACATTAGTGAAATTAACGATTTACTCAATATGCACGCTTAAAGCCTATATTTGCTTAATGTGACTGAGTAAGCTAATCACTGGGTAGCTCATTCGCAGTAAGAATGTAAAGCAAAACTACGAGATAACGTCTCTTTGTGCTAATCTACCGCTACCGTCGACGTTACTGATATTCACTACAAGGAAAACACTAAAATTAGTAAGATTGCTCCTGTACCAAGTTATATGTTTCAGCCATGCAAAATGGCTGACACATATAGGATTTGTGCAGCCCAATCATGTGTTACACACCCAGAAGCCCATTACTCGCTTGGATTTTGCCTCCTTACCGTCTTAAATTTGAAACTCTTTTCACGTAAGCTTCTTTAAAGGGGATCAAAATCAGAATCAAAATCAGAAGAATGATAACCTTTGATACACACGAAAATTACAAAAAAAATTCAACTCTCCGGCTAATTTTTTCCGCAACTCTCCAAATTGACAGTGTGAAAAATTTGCAAAGGATAGTGGGATCTGTAAGGTAAGGCAAGGAGGGATTAGAATACTGGAATACAGCAAAAGAAAGGCGAAACTTGCGTAGTTTTTATTTGAAGATGTGTCCGCATGAGACAGCCTTTTTTTTTCTCCGCGTTTCATGGATCGTATTACCTAAGTGAGCTCGAGTAGCCTAAGGTAAAGGTGGAGGTGGTAAAGGTAAAGGTGGTGAGAGTGCTATACACTTCACACTAGCATCCTCTCTATGGTTACAGTTATGGTTTTCCCAATCATTGCTTCTGCAATGAGATAAAAATGCCTCTCTACCTTGGCAGTGAACATCATCCATCCAGATTGGACCAGACCCCTCACCGTATGCAGCGCTGCGAAGAGCCTGGCGTGCACCAGGATAACCAAGTTGACGACAAACCACGTTGGCTTCGTTCATTGTCCAGTGATCATCGCAAACTGTACCCCACCGCCCGTTGTGGTAAATTTCTACGCGGCCGTAGTTATCAAGTCCTCCGCCCACTAAACGGATGGGTGCGTCCTCTGTTGTGTTATGATAAATTTAATATAATACCTGAATTAAAGATACCTTTGGTAGTCTAAAAGGCATTTATTTATGTATGTGTAGAATTGCTTGTTTCGAACCACTAATTACCAAGGTTATAAAGTTAAACACAGAAGGAATTAAATAAATAAGGGTGCACGATCTTTAAAAACCCATAAGAGCTTGTTAGAGTAGAAAATTCTCAATCTTCATAGCCAGGGGAAGAAGTCAGAGGCTTACTCCGCTAAAAAAGAAAAAACACAACCGAACAAAAAAAAAAAAAATACAAAAAATAGACCTCTTGGGTTTTGAAGAAGTTTAATCAATGGCTAGAAAAGCGGAAAAATAAAACTGTTATCTTCACTTTATAAGCCTTGTTAAGCTGAGTGGAATTATGCGAAAATTTTATGCCGAGTTGAAAACAAACCAGAAAACAGATCTCCCACAAAGTGCCTTAATTGACACGTATTCGAGCTGGTATGCGAAACTTCTACTCTGAAGGGTTACTTCCAACCTTCAGAGGCCGTAAACATCGATTTTCCTTTGATTTGACGGCAAACGCTTATGATGGGGCTCCTCTTTCATGTAATTTCCATATTTTTTTTTACAGCATGCACTTTACAAAATTCACACGTAGAAGCTCTTGCCCATGGGAAAATCAAAAGCGGAAGAAAGTCCTTGGTGAAAAAAAAAATGAAAAAGAAATTTGGACCAAAGAAGAAAGAAAGAAAGAGTACCATTCTGCCAAGAAAAGAAAAAAATTTCTTCGTGACAGCGACCAGTACTGGCAGAGCTCTGTGCTGGCGTCCAGGTTTCCAACATAGAAGTCGCCGTCAAACCGAAATTTGCCACACATAATGTTAAAAAGGAAGTCCCTTTTCTTTATACTAGTACCAGCCTTTTACACAAACATTAAAAGTCGCCTCGAACTGTAATTTTGAAAGCTGTCTGTCGATTCGTTGTCTTGCCCCTCTGCACATTTTGTGGTTTTTTGCATTTTTGCCGTGGGTTTTCCCTTTGCCTTTCTTAACTTTGCTCATTATTGTGTCGTCCTGCTCAATGCTCCACTGAGCAATCGAGATAAAAAAGAACATGTCTGCAATGGGTTACTTTTCCCGGGAAATATTGATCCATCGTCATTGACGCCATGAGGTCCCATTGTCCTATTAATTTGCGGTTTCAGGAGGCGAGATAATCTCCACGCATGGCGCGAGTTGTTTGCGATTTTAGGAAGAATTCTACCACTCTGAGCGAATTTATTGTTTATATAGTTTTGACCGACTTTCGTCAAATTTTCCCAAAAAAACTCCAGGAATAATGGCAAATGAAAGTGTGTCGGGGAATTTTGATATTTGAGCGAATTTTTTCCCGAAGGACACCCGCGAAAGCGTAAACGAAAAATTTCCGTACAATCCGAGCCGACAAATCTAATTGGTACAAATCAACAATGTGAAGGTCTAAGCGCTTAGCCGGTCGATGAGATGACTGCGGGCTCATTTATGAACACCTACAGCTAATCGAGTCTACAGTGCTTCCGGAGAAAATATCAAATGTTCCCCCACAGTTTTGATCGTCACAAGAACTACAAGATCTCTGTATAGACTATTAAATGTATAGATGACGTCTAGTTAGATATATACATAGAGAAAGAGGGTGCGTTCCCTTGGGAGAATTCGGATCAGGATTTCTGATCTGTGGCGTTCCTTTCGAGCAAATCCTTTTTCAGATCAGTGATCTATCAAATCCACTCTAGACAAGGATTCATCGGATCACGGATCTGCGTGATCTAAAGACGGATCATTGATCCAACGCGTTCCTTTGGGCGAAGGATCCGAAATTAATCAATTTGCCCAGCGGTGCTCAATTTCAAACTAGTGGGTAATTCATGACCGGAAATAAGTGACCGGAAAGATTGTTGGCAATCGCTCCACAAATTCTGCGATAAACACGAAATAAAATCGATTTTGTAATGTTAAATCGATCGGCCACTGATCGCAGGCATTCAGGGTTCCCAAGTATCCATATCGTAATCAATACTTGTTTCTTTTTTAATTCCAACGTTTGAGTTTACCACGAAAAAATGTGCCTCTAATGAATAGTGCTAATTAGAAAAATTGTGCGCGCTAAAAGCCCGTGCAGTTAGACGAGCCGTTCAGCGAAGAGCTCAATAACCCACGTCTTAAAAGAACGCACGTTTTGGATTTCTCCGAGTGCTCGTCTAAAACTCCGTTCCTTTCACGCACCGTAATCTGTGTGATCTTGGATCACAAATTCTAACCCGGATCCTCCCAAAGAAACGCACCCATAGATTGATAGATAGATAGATAGATAGATAGATAGATAACTAGAAAGATAGACTGATAGCAATTTTTGTACTTCTACCTCTACGGCAATAACCCCGTCCATTCCTATGATATCCAGGCAAACACCTGCAGTCATATGAGCCAATTGTGTTCACACACTGAGTGTTTGAATGGCATGAATATGATCCCGTTTGACACTCGTCCACATCTGTAAAAGGATCAGTACTTGTCCGACTTCATCACTCACAAAAACAATCTTTCTAGAGTAATTAGTGTCTTTCTTAGCGTGAGTGTGCGTTTCTGCACTTTTCCTACAATGTTTAGCGGTAGCAGTGCTGAGTTATTGTGTTAGCTTGGCTAACGTTCTACCTAAATTTCTATCGAAGTATTAGGAGTTTTTCCTTGTAGGCATCGCTTAGTTGCCAAGGGCAGAACAGTAGCAGTTTTTGTTCCATGTAGAAAAAAGCTAAAGGAATAGTCTTTGGTAGAGTTAATATTTCAGTAGGTGAAGCATAGGGTCTGCAATTTTTGCAGCTAACTGCAGGAAAATCAATGAAGTCTACTTGAAGAAAGCTGTCATTGTGAACAGGTAGCTGGTGAATACAGGAATTGAAGAGCGTGGTGAAATGTTGTCTTACAGTAAATGAGAGCATTGAATTCAGCGAATAGTGATAGGAGTTAAACATTTCCGTCGGCCTGGTTCTTAAACATGTAATTTATATTCCACATCTTACCTGAACAATACCAACCATTCCCTTGAAATCCATGCTCACACTCACAGTCGTACGAGCCGATTGTATTAACACAATCGGCGTTTGAAGCGCAAGAATGTGATCCCGTTCTACATTCGTTTGAATCTGTCGAGGTTAGATTTAAATTTAAATTTCATGTTTCTAATGATTGAGTCCTACCTAATCGCCCTAATTGACGATTTCTACGAGTTTCAGTCAAATTCGTCAAAGCGAAATCAGCCCGGCAGATTTGACGATTTTGACGAATTTTTTGCCATTTCATGCAGCCATTTCCGTCACTGCATGCATTTCTAGATATATCTTTAACAACGAAGTCAGAAAACAAGAGATAAGACTTATACCCCATTCATACCAAATTTAAGCTCAAACATGTTTTAAAGCTGTTTTGTTAAACACGGTTTTGAATTTGTTTTCTTCATTAAAGAAGCTGCCTAAAACCGATGATGTCGACTTCAAATATACAAGTTAGAGACTATTTAAAACCAATGGGAAATTCAGTTTTTCAGTGTTTCTGATTTTCATTTAGTTAAACCCGTTTTAACTATGCATGTTTTGTTGGCAGGAATGGGGACAAATAGCCAGAATCTGGGGAAACGAGTCTACATCGTAACGTATGTTAACCTACTCTAACGTACTCAAATTTGACTGACTGTAAAAGTATTTATAAATATACCTGAGCATGTGTATAGACCATCTCCTGAATATCCACGTACACATTCACAATCGTAAGAGCCTTGTGTATTGATGCACCTGGCATTTGAATGACAGGAATATGATCCAAGTCGACACTCGTTTATGTCTGTTCAAGACAAAATCGATGTAATTTAGTGTCTAGCTACATTAAATTAAACAATCCCGTTTCCCCTTTCTCTCTCTTTGTCCATCGCGTTCTTTCCTATTTCACTCGGAATGCTGTTTTCTTTTGTGTTGTTGTTGTCTTTTTTTTAAAGAAAAGAAAAGGAAGTTTACCTCGTCTTTTATATGGCAAGGTTGGATTTCCCGTAAACAAAAACAGCACGAGTACCTTCATTTTCAAATGAATTATGTCTTGGTTTGTTTCTTTTCTTTATTTTTAGCTGTCAGTACCTTTTTTGCAGTTTTGTTGTTATCTTGTTTGACTGTTTCTTGTTTTGTTGATGATTTGTGTTGGTTTTGTTGTTGTTGATGTTTTTCCTTTCTTTGTCTCCTCTCACTCAAGCACCCCTGATTTGGAGATGACTGAGAAGGATTCAGATGCTTTCATTGAAAGCGTTTTTGACGGCTTATATAAGAAATGCCACCCCATCAGTTTAAACGTAATATTGCCCAAAGCAGCCGCTCAGAATGACTGCGCTCTCTGTTATCATCTATTGATGAAAGGCTGTCAAAGCTCATTATTTCTAGTCTGTGACGACGGCTACAGAATACAGTAGTGTGATGCGTTCTAGCATGATTTATCTCAAAATTACCTGCACATGTGGCACGACCATCCCCCAAATATCCGGATAAACATCTACATTCGTAGGAGCCTTGTATGTTCACGCACTGAGCTTGTGCATGACAGGAATGAGATCCTGACTGACACTCGTCCACGTCTGTAAAACGAAGATTATCGCGAATCAGATGTCAAGTTTAGTCATATTTTAAAAGGATAAAGTATCAAATGCCAAGCACCATTTCACCAACCTTTTACAAGGAATTTACACCTCTCTTATACCGACTGTAGGCTTTTTCACTTATCAGTGTAAGTTACGTCTGACCTTATTTTGTATATCTGAGCTAACACTTTCAGAATTCAGCCACAGCGTGTTGAAGATTGTTAAGTCGTTCTTATGACTCGTTTTGTTCTCCTCCTACCTGCACATGTAAGAATGCCATCCCCTGCATAACCAGGTAAGCATCTACATTCGTACGATCCTTGAGTATTCACACATTGGGCTTGTGCATGGCAGGAAAACAAACCTGACTGACACTCGTCTACATCTGTTTGAAACAATTTAGATAAGTTACAGAAACACAGCGACAAGCGAAGCCAAATGCACTTTAACTGATATAGAGAATAATACATGGGCGTGCGTAGATATGGAATTTCTCTTTGAGTATTCAACTCGATAGCTCACGAGTGAGCGCTGCGAACGAGTCAGATGTCGAGTTGCACGCGAGAAGAGAAATTTCATATCTGCAAGCAACCATGTATTATTTTGTTGATCATATTAACACAATAATAGCTCTTTCTTGACAAGAGAAGTTATCTTTATTAATGAATGAAAATAAAAGAATCGCCAATCCCTGAATAAAAATCGTAAAGAGCATTGGCACTGAGGCTCAAGATGAAAAATGCGTTGAAACAATACAAAACCAAACAATGGGCGTAATTTTCAATACACAAAATCCTCAGTTAGTGACTTGGTCCTTACCGACAGAAGAAATCTTTCAGGTACACGGCCAAAATTGGCCTGTGGCAAATCTTCCAATTGTCGATTTTCGTCCTTAGGCGCGAGAAATGCCATTACCAAAGCGACTGAATACGTAATTTTCGGTTTTTCTTTCCATATTTTTTTCCCCTTTTAGCAAAGTTTGAACATCACTATCTGTAAGCGATACGGATTTTTCAGTGTTTTAGCAGCCATAATCTGAAAAAATTCCGACAATGCAAACGACCTTAGATTGAGAATAATGAAGGCTCCGTCGTTCACTCTTATATCTGGGCGAGTGGCGCGAAGGGGGAGTGACGTGTCAGCAGCTGATTGACGATATCAAACACACGTAAAAAAATACAACATTTTTTCACCTGTGTTGTCACAGCTTTTCTCAGCGCTAGGAATCCTCGTATAACACGGTAATTTGTATGATAAATAAAATTTATTAATTTTGCATCGGCATTTCAACCAAGATGTTCTCAAAGTGTATTTATGCTGCTTGAAGTAGTATTTACCATAACTCAAAATATGCCCATTTTATTCATCCCAACCGTTACAGCAAGAACTCGTGTTGAAAACCAGTCGAAGCCCTTAGTTTTACTTTATTTTACCATTCCGGGGGGATGGAAAACTTAGACTCCCCTCCCATAACATTTCCCTACTTAGTACCCCAAAAGAGTGGTAGTGAAATACGCGAAGTCTAGTGTTTTAACGACCAATACAGAAAAGAGTACAAACCTAGACAGTCTCCCTCTTCGAAGGTATATCCAGTGGGGCATACACAAGTGAAGGAACCATAGCTGTTCACGCAAGTCGCACCTGCTGGACAGGAGTCAGCGAAATATTGGCACTCATTGTAATCTGGATGAAAAGAGGTAATAATAATAGCAATGATCATAATAATAGTAACTCCAGTTTAAGTAGCCTTATGTTGACGAGGAGGTAAGATAGTAATCAAAAGCAATGCATCTATGAACAATAACTATATATGAATATGGAAACGATCCTCGCAGTTATGAACACTACTAGTAGTAGTGGATCGCCAGCCGCTGCGGTCCGCTGCCAGTGTAGTAGTAGTAGTAGTAGTAGTAGTAGTAGTAGTAGTAGTAGTAGTAGTAGTAGTAGTAGTAGTAGTAGTAGTGATAATAAGGTCTGAAACGCACAGGCCTAAATTTATTTTTCAGGCCTTGTTTTCACTACAACTTAAGTTGTGTTCATAACTGCGAGGATCGCTTCCATAGTCGTTTCTTCAACCGCAGTTCACATATATGATTTTCAATAAGTATATATGTTTTACATATTTTGGACGAAAGGTAATTCTGCTCAATCTATTAAAAAATATACCGTATTTGCACAATATCACTTTCCATCGAGTAAAAATGGTAACCTTAGATCTTTTTGTAACCCCGTTTATACCGGTTTTTTGTTTACGAGGGATTGAGGGCTAAGTCTCAAGCACCCACCGAGATATAGCGAGGGGCTTTTGATCCAGTTAACACCAACCTCTCTTACAAGTGAATCCGTGGCAGTCTGTACAATTTACGTCATTCCAAGTAAACTCATTAAAGAAACCAAGAGTGTGAACACAGTCTTGGTTGTGCAAATTGTTTGGTTGTCCTTCTGCCCAGTAATGGAAGTCTAAAGGGGTCTCATCGCTCCAGACGAACGAACCTTCGGTGAAATTATCAGACAGACCCAGCCACGATTGTGTACTGCCGTGTAGACTTTGAACAAATACGTTTTCTTCTTGGCTGTGTATGCTGGGAAGATTTGCGTCCAGGGAAGCACATGTCTCCTGACTATTTTCCCACGAGTCACAAGACAAGACTTTTCTATAGCAATACCCATTGTAATACGTCCAATCGTCCTGACATATGTCTTCTAAAATTAAGTGAACAAAATAAGATGAACATTATTACTGTACCGATTTAATTGAAGGCTGCCTCTGTTTTTCTTTCATATATCCACACGCAATCAAAAATTTGGTTTAAAAGACTTTGCCAATAAAATGAATTACATTTTCATGTTTTGAGGAGTGCAGCTATCGTCGACAGACTTTTACAAGCCACCGACTTGAAATTAGATGCTGAGCTCCTGAGCGAAAATCGCGCTAGCGGAGGTATCACAGCTAACTCTTTTTTTAGATGAATCAAACCATTTAAACAGGAAAAAGTGCTAGTTACGAGATGGAAATACGTTTAAATTGCTTACTATAGGAACAATCCATTCGTTGGTGACGCGGTGTAATAAGTTGCAGATTTGTTATCCTATGTGCTCGTTATATCATCGCCTTAACTAAACATCCCTGCTCCCTGATAAATTTGAATGAAAGTCAGAAAGGGCGACTAGGTCGAGGTCAGCTTTCAGACTTGAGCTTATCTATGAAAGTTACACAAGCTTAACAAGGATCGAACTATTTTTATCGCTTTTCAAACAAGAAATATCATATAAAAAGCACAAAATAAAGGCTCGTAGCCTCGTAGTTAAATGAATAAAGGGGATAAGTTTCTAAAGAAACTGTGGTGCTGCGTCTGTGGGAGGGTATAGCAGGTAATTTAGTGTTAACAACTGAGTTGAAAGCGTAAATTGACCACCGTAAAGGGCGAAAAAAGCTGACGTTTGGAACGTTAGCCCTTCGTCAGAGCGATCGAAATCAATCGCTCTGACGAAGGGCTAACGCTCCAAACGTCAGTTTTCTTCGCCCTTTACGGTGGCCAATTTACGTTTTCAACTCAGTTGTTAACACTAAATTACTTGTAGTTAAACATGCGCTAATTTAAGTCCAAATCAATTTAACAGCAGAAAGGCGAGGGCGTTCCCTCCCAGAAAACAATGAAAACAGATGTCAAAAACTTCCTATGAAACTTTAATTATTTGAACATGAGAGCAAAGTTATATTTATTATTTTACAAAATTTGCCGAAACTCCATTACCTGGCAACACTGCGTACGATACGGTAAGAGGATCAAAGCGTTGAATGAAAAGTTCTTTGACACACATTCTAAAACTTGTGTTGGTAATAAACTGCAAAGAAAAAACTTAAAATCAAAATAATGATAATAAACGTAAGGTAATAGAGAAATCTGCTGTAGAAATTCTTCAATCTTTATGAAATGGCCATAGCCATACCTCTACCCAACTTTCGATTCCATTGCATTCTGCAGCGGCAGAGTCTTGTCCACTGGTAGAATGTTTTGCAGTAAGCAGAACTATCGGCGGTTTGGTGTAGTTCTGAGTAAATTCCATGTCCTGAAAAGTGACAAGCGTATTTTCTTTCACAGACAGGAGAGAAAAATCTAAATTACTTTTAAATTGCGATTATCTTTACTTCTTAAGCGACCATTCAAAGATACGTGATGACAGTTGCCAGAGCTAACCTGACAGAAGGCAAAGTTATGACTCCTTGGAGGTGGGCCGTTATTTGGGAAATATTCATCATTATGCTCTGTAATCAGAGGTTCCGGAGGGCGATCAAATGTTAACCAGTCCTACGATGAAAACATCAGAAAAATGGATGATGATGGAAAAAAGGCCAATTACCAATTACCATTGTATATGGAACTGTAGTTCCAAATAAAATATATTATACTTATATATATATATATATATATATATATATATATACATATATATATATATATATATATATATACCTATATATGTATTTATATATACATATATATACACATATAGTGAATTGGGTTAACTTGTTAGATAAGATAATCGTGCCGCCAGATTTGATAAAACTTACAACTGAAATTTCTTCATGAACACCAGCGAAGTTTTGAAGCTCCCTCAAGCAGATTTTGAAGGAGGCTGCTGATACGTCTTCAAGCCAAACACTCGCAGCATCATGCTTCAGACCCTTCCTGTGGTGTTTAGCTGTCACAAATACCGTTGGTGGATTGGAATATGTTCCCTGAGATGCAAATTGCGAAACTAGATTAAACACATGTTGACTGAGGTAGTGATCAGTACACTCTTTCTGTGACTTGCTTGGGAGCCAGAACGAGTAATATTGTTTTATACCTAGACTTTCACCCAACAAAACGAGCACTGGGATTGGTTGATTCTTGGTGACGTGCCCCTGATCAAATTCAAATGTATCCCGACCGGGATACCATTGCGGAGTTGCCTGCGCGTCGAATACAACAGTCGTTTGTTTGTTTTTGCCACATGATTGTTTAAGGGAAAGTCTAAATATGTAGCAAAGCAATTAATGTATGGTCCCTCGGGAAAACAAAACAAACTGTTTCCCACGGGAAAATACATTAACTTTGTAATGTATAATGCGTAAGCAGAAGTAAACAGCAGCAGTAAGAAGAGCAGAATCACCCCCTTTCCCTCCTTTTCCTATTTTTATTTTTATCTTTTAATCTCTCAGGGATTAGCCTTACACTAGTGCAAATTGGTACTACTGATTCTTACAAAATGAAGTTTCCACTTCTAGTGTCTATTTTCTAACAAAACAATTTTCATACTATTGATAAGGCAATGTGGGGTCTCTTTGGGGTCCAACGTTAATCCTTAGATCAATGGAGTAGAAATAGCAACCAGAAAAAAAAAGTTTGATAAGATGCTTACACTGGGAATAGTAACAGTCTGACAAATAGTCCCAGTCCACCAAGTGGGAAATAATTCTTCACCAGAAATTCCTCCTGTGGGAGCACCTTGATATGCAATCCAATCAACCGAAGCAAAACTGTCTGCAGGGTAGTCATTTCTTCCTGCTCGAGTGACACAGGCTGTAAACTGAGTGGTGTTAACGCTTTCAACCCAAGCTGTAACAGCTTCGTGAACAAAAGAAGCATCCGAATAATTGACATGGTTAACTGTGAGTTGCACGTGTATTTTACTGTGTGGGTAGAACACGAACCGCTGAAAGTTAAAAGTCTCGCACTGATCCTCTGCCCAAATTGGAATGTTCTGGAATTTGTGTCTCCCTGTCTGAAACGGAAAACCTACAACGAAAATATTAAAGCTAGTAAGTGAAATGTATGGTAAGTTTGAAAATAGAGGTATTTTCATAAAATAATCGCCCAGTATTCGCCAAAATTTCTTATCGTTTGAAAATCCCCGCTACCCTCGTCCTCTAGGCTCGATTTGCGAGGCTTTCTCGTATCCGGTCTTCACTCCTCTCGAGAAGAGGGGGGTTCGGGGGGAAGGAGCACGGGCTCACATTCCTTAACAGCGGCTGGTAATCGAGGCTACTCGTCCCCATGCTCCCATCAACTATATGCATGAAAGTCTTTTTTTGGTGCATCATTCGCATCAAGAATATGAAGTGGCAACTAAAGAGATACCTGTACAGCTTCCTGGATGATAGATGGTAAAGTTTGCATCTGTATCACATATTTCTTTATTTAGAAGGCACAAGTTGGAGAATGTTCTGCCATTAGAAGCACAGACCTGTTCTTCATAAGAAGGGCAGCTTGTGTTACATCGGCAAGTGTATTCGTGTGGAGATATTGCCACACAATGAGCAAATTTCTCGCACTCTATATCTATGCAAGGATGAAGATCTAAAAGAAAAAAATGTATGTTGATGAAAACAAAATTAAAAAAGCAAAAAAAAAGGAGAGACTGATCTTCGTTGGAGAATCAGTTAATTGTTTTAGGGTTATGAACGAAATGTTAAATACTTGAGGTTACCTCCGATGACCAAGTAATTTACAGTCACATTGCGTCGCGGGCCACCATAACCAATGTCATCTATTATGCATACGCGAAAGTGGAAGGTCGTCACCTCCTTATAAAGGGAAATTTAGAGTTTAGTAAAGAAGCGAATAGGTACATGTATGATGGATAAATGAAGAAGAGAGAAGTAAATACATAGGTAATTGAAATAAAGTATATTTAAAAATCAGCGGGGGTCTTGTGCTCACGAAGGAAACTATTTCTCTACCACTTTTGTTGACAAAGAGAAAAAGAGGAATTACGATAGATTTGCGTAATTTCGAAATCTACTTGCTATGTGACCTTCGAAATCAAGAATACGACTTTAAGCGTAGACCTGACAAGAAAACGGAATTCCCCTCTGTTGATAATTAAAAACGATACCTGCACAGACATAGAAATCCATATTTGTGTATTTGAGGTCATAAATATCGTCCACGTGTTTTTTCCTTTGCTATTTTTGTGTGCCGATGCGGTAGAAAAGCATATCTTGCTTTATCCGACGAAAATACTTATCCAGCACCTCTTAATTTTGAAAGTCTACCAGCACTTAGAGTGACGGTACATGTAACTGTCCTGAAATTTATTGGATATTATACCTCCAACCAAACACTCAGAGGAGTTTCCTGTGTACACACTGGGTCAGCATTGTTTGAGTCACAATTGAAAGCAGTAGCGAGTACTAATGGTGGGGCGTAGTATGGACTTGGAAAGCGCACATTCTGAAGGAATAGATCACAAAAATCTTAAAGTGGTAAGTATTATCAGTAAATCAGTAAATCAGTACCGAGTGTTTGTTAACTTCCCCTTTCAAGCACACACTCTGCTCTTCTTCTTTGCTTCTCTTCTTCTCTTTTTCCCTTATTCCTTTTCTCTCTTCTTCTTATCTTCTCTTCTTCTCCTTCTTCTACTTTTTCTCCTAATTACTCTTACTTTTCTTGATCGTGTTCGTGTTGCCTTTTTATATCAAAGCTGCCACCAAACATACTCAATGAACCCTAATGGAAGCTTTAGAACAATTTTCTTTTTATTTTCACGAAAACTTGTGTGATAAGAATGAATATACCCCATACCTTGCACAGGGCAAAATTGGTTTCAAAAGTTAGTCCATCATTCTCAGAGAACATGACCTCTGACGATACTTTCACTTGCCATGATGATGGATAGTCACCTTGGTACGCCATCCAGCTCTGAAGATCAAATTGAGAAAAACAATTATAAATAGATAAATAATTGTAATAAAGATAACAAGTATAGTCGTAATATATCATTCTGTTGAAGTATAAACTCAACTGGATGCCAGCTTATGTATGCAATGTAGAGTGTCTGAGGTTGAAGCGGAACCATCTGACCTTCAGCACTCATGATTCCTAAGTGTAAGAGAGGAAAATTTATAATTCCTTATAATTCAACCGCCAATATTTGTCATTCATGAAACTGCTTCCACATCCGAATGTTGTGCGTAGTGTCTAACTCCAGTAAAAGAGAACAGAATTTTTACCAACCACAGATAGATTGCTATGCGGTCCATCAAATTTCCTCCATTCTTGCAAACAAACTTCAAACCGAGTTGTTGAAACGTGCTCGATCCAAACATTCATGGCGTCCTGCATTTGGTTTGGAGTTCCATGCTTCATAGTGACGTGAACTTTAGGAAGCGAGGAAAAGGCCTAAAAATGGTAAATGTTGTCATTCCGAGTTTCATTACTCGATATATTTATACTTGAATTAAAATGATTAACTTGATAAGCAACCACGAAAAAGGCTCCTTTTTAAACAGTTGTGATGTCGTTACTTCGGCACGCCCCTTCAATCAGCTCAAATGTGTTAAAAAGCTCGACAAGATTAACGTTGTACTAAATTATTTTTATCCTTCCTGTCCTTTTTTTATGTTTGCTCTATCGATTTTTATTAAAAGTAGCTGTTAATGGTTTGCATTTTTTTATCGGCGTGTCCCCAACAGTCTGCTGTGTTGAGCTAGTATGTTTGACTGTCTCGCTAAAGTTCAACACGGTGTCAACATCGTCCTCTTTGGTCGAAATTTTTTTGGCAAATGTTTGTAAACATTTCCGGTAAGAAGACGAGGGCATCATCACGGAAAGAAAAAAAAAATAATAAAAGAAATTATATAAATTTTAAGTGATTTCTGATGGTAAAGATCGATGCTACTCCGTTCCCTCTGAAAACCACCTGATTCCCACCCAACCCCTCCCCCTTGTGCGGTGACTATCCAAGTCCTGAAACAATACGCAGCTGATATATGAATCAGTTTACCTGAGCAAATGCAACCTGCTTGCATTTTGTACCAGTAGTAAATATGCTAAAACTAGCCTCTCCATGATGTACTCCTGACTGGGAACCCTGAAATGCAAACCAATCGATGGTAGTGGAGTTGCTCTCGATGCCTCGGCCACCTTTTACGAGGCAAGCTTTGAAGTCATTTGTCGTGACTTCCTCCACCCAAATAAACGCTGGATCATGGACAACGTGGGACTCGTTTCCGTGGTTAATCGAAACAAATAGACGAACGGGCGATCCATCGGAGAAGCTGTTGCTGAATGAGACACGCTTGCACTGGAAATCATTATTTCCCACGAGATTTATGCCAATTTTGCCTCTTTCAACTCCTGTTATAAAAACAACAAATGAAAGAAAATATGCACACTTCATTTATTCTTAATTTTTTCATTCTTAATTTTAGGATTATTTTGACTTTTGGCTTGAGTTTTGCTCAAGTTCATCAATGGAGAACTTGCAATTTGATGGTAAAAGTTGCCAATGTTCAAAGACAATTATCTAGAATGAATGCCGTTGGTAATGTATCCAAACTGGCTGAGCGGAAATATTTTGCGGTCTGTCTCTGTGTTACGCATGATGAAAGGAAATGGTATATTTAAAAAGCGTGAGGAAATAATAGTGATTAAAAGGGAATCCTATTTAGAGCATAATAAGTTGGCATTACGCTGCATTCTTTCGTGCGAATGTGGATCGCTTTAGATAAATGGATGAAAAGAATAACAATTTATCTGAGAGAAAAACTTGTTTTCATTCATAGTCCGTTTATGCGTGTTCTGGCAAGATACTTTATTATGGCCATCCCTAAAGCTTTGCGCCAAGAGTTCAGTTATTGGGGTTTCAAAATTTAATAAGAACATCAACGACGCAGTCAGATGCACTACAGCGGTGTGACGCTTTTTTGTCTTGCCATAATTTGACATCAGCTATTACCTATCTCTAGACTGACGTACAGCAAATTGTAACCTGTTGATATGTAAACCACGGGCAGTGTTTCGCTGATGCCTTTGGATATTCTTTTCAGAAAAACCCTTTTTCTTACATTTCACGAAATTGGTTATATCTTTATTGCACTCACAAACATTTTTTTTTGTCTCTTAGCTGCTTTTTGTTGTTCTGTTTGATTTTTGTTTTCTTGTGGGATGGATGTTAAAAGTCATCTGAACTAGAATATTAAGACCTACTTGACCTAAGCTAAGAGTTCCGATGGATATTTAAGTCTACAATCATATGTTGGAGCAAGCAAGCATAAAGTTGGTCGCGTTAATTTTTGTCCTAATATATTACCTCGACTAAGTAAGCCAAACAATATGTATTGTTAAAAGCTCTGTCTCTATCGAAACAGCTCCTTTCAAAATATTGCGAATGATGTAAAGCGAAAGTAATCCTAGTTTACTTGTAAAACTACGTTATTTGCATTGAACTAATTATGCATGATAATAAAACAACGAATTTTAGTCACCTGTAGTGCCTTCAAACATAAGAGACTGCCATATCAAAGGGAGGAAAACCAAAACGCCTTTTAACGTTGAGAGTAGCATATCTCCTGCCTTAACGTTATTGCCTTTGACGAGAATGGAAAATACACCCAGGAGAGCTGAAAGATCGATGAATGTAAAAACTGTTGCGTGATGCAAATATTTCCTCGCGGAATTAAGATCACCTCAATTCCAAGAGGAAATATTTACGATAACATGTCTTAGCGAGCTTATAGCAACTTAAACTTTATATTTTATTTTTTTATCTATTTTTAGTTTTCGAGGACGCTCGAAGGTCATGAAACATAAATGTCAATGGTCCATTTGTTTTGGCATTTCCTCGCGGAAAACGTCTTAAATGAAATTATAAATTTGTTATTAGACATTGATATAAGGAGTGAACTTGAACTGCATTTAACTTCGTTACTTGACAGTGATTCGAGCAAAGAACAGATCCATTTAAGTTTTCAACAAGTGACGCGACAACTGACCTTCCCTGGAGCGTAGTTAGCTCATAAACACCTGATTAAAACCCCAGACATAGTTTGCAATTACGATAAACCTCATTATATCTTCATTGACAGCGGCTGAACAGAATCGAAAATCACATCTCAAATAACAGCAGATTCTCAGAATTAATGAACTCTATTAGTTTGATCTCATGGCCTCCAAGTGTTTCCATGGGATAATTGAAAGAGAAGCTTTGGGAAATAAACAAAAGATATTGCTTTGCCGGCCTGAAGTAGTATCGTTGAAGCAAATCGCTTTTAACATCTTTAACATCAAACTTAGGCTCTTCGCACAGAGTTTTGAGCTGAGATTAAAGATTAACCCCTCCAATATGTCACTGCCAATCATTAAGAATGTTTGGCTTCGTGGCTTCTATGGAACCTTCTAGCTTCTAGCTGTAGACGTCTATCAAATTAAATAATTTAATTTTTCACTCACACAAGATTATCTGCCAATTTGGTTTGTTTAGGTTGATAAAATGTGCAATCGATCCAGTTATAACAATTGACACAGTGAGAAAGAAACTCGATATTCAAAGTTTGGTACTGGCAGCCGCTTACGCGTATTTTGAACTGCTCCATATCATTCCTGACTAAAATTTTAACTCCAAGGTAACCCAAAAGTAGATGGAGGAAAAAAAAATTTTGAGTTCTTTCATCGGTTTTTTCCCATATTGATTGTCAGAGGCCCTTAAATTTTATTCAACGAGAAAGTGAAAGTTCATTGTGTTGTTTTTGATTGATGGTAATTAAATCGAAAATCTATTCTTGTATATAATGTTTACGTGTCTAAGGAAATACTTTTCCTCCTGAATAACGGCTTTTTAACATATTAAACTGTAAGGAAATAGCATATCTGAAGAGCTTTACATATTTATAACAGGTTAAAAGGATTCCTATTTAGAAAAAAAATAGTTTCGCATTAGGTTCCATTTTCCTTATTTTTTCGTATGGTTTTGTGATTAAAAGTAGCTAGTTCATCTGAATCGTGCGGATGTAATTATAGTCGTTGTAAAGGGGAATGGACAAAACGCTTTTCAACGTTAGCACAGTGTAACTCGATGCTCTAAAATCATTGCCATTAGAAGTAGCAAGAGTTGGAAACTGTCATAGGAAAAGGAAGAAATGGGGAGCTTTCCATGATGATTCATTACATAAGACAAATCTCAATTCAGCGATAAAATACTATTTCCAATTTACTATTTTGGTGAGCTATTAGCAAAATGAAAACTCTTTTTATTAAATATTTATTATGGCAGATCATGTCCATAGTCTATTTTTGGCATTTCTTCGCTGACTTTCCTGACTAACTCTGCTTGCAGTTGTTTGTTTACGTCCTATCCTATTTTCGTTACAATCCCTCACTCGGTTCCATTCATGATCTGCCTGGAGAGTTGAAAATGAAGGAGGACATGGAAATATCAGTTCTTAATTAATGCAATGGGTCTTTTGTTTATTTTTCTCCCTTTACTCCTCTATTTTTTCTTGGCAGTACGAAGCTTCACAGCCACCTGCAACCTTTTTGGTTATTCTGATTATTGAAAGTTCTGTTTAAAGGCCATCAGACATGTCATTATTTAAAATTAAATAAAGGCAACAACGGAAAAGGGTGACTCTGAAGTCTGACCTTTCTTAACCGGAACAGTCTGCGAGCGTAAATTATTAAGGTTTCGGAATCTCACTTTACGCTTACCTAAAAGTCTTAAAGAAAAGAAACGATATTTTTTGCTGAAGAAACCACGTTCTTCTTCTCTCGCTGATTTTGTGAATGTCAGTAGCCTTGTCTCAGAAGAAGTCACGCACATGTGCACGAATATAACGAGTGCTCATGGAGGAATGCTCTCAAAATAACCTTTGTCACGCAATCAAAGAGAAGTTGCCAACATAGCAGGGTTCTTTAAAAAGCGCAGAGAGTCTGTCAGACTGACTGACCACTGGCAGCAGTGTATTCTTTTATCTCATTTTATTAATATATTTGTTCATGTATTTTGAGAATTGTAAATATGATCAATCTTTTAATAAACCATGCAAGCTGAAAAACAGTTCTTATGTATAATGCAAACAGTCGGCGTGGTTTTACTAAAAAAAAAAAAAAAAAAAAAAAAGACGGAAGAAACCGCTAAGAAGACTAGTAAATACACAATGGGCCGAGGAGCCGCGTTTGATGGCCCTTTTATTAAAATTCACCTAACAATGCTGTTTGACCGTCAGTACATGAGGGTCTTAATGGGGTTAACTGTTAGCCGTAAAATATGTTCCTGGATTGTCTCCATAATCGTATGAATGTGTTCCTCCACGAGCGCCCCAGGCTTTGATGAGAAAGCGGGTGACTCTTCGAACAGTGAACGTCTCCATTTTACCAAAGCGTCCACTTTTCGAACAACAACTGTGACATATGAGCAACAAATTTCCATTAAAAAGGTAAAATGATATCAACGTGACAATTACGTCTTCATGTTTTTTCACGAACCGTTTTGCAATCAGGCTTTTTCTTGCCTTTTTGTTTCCGGTTCTTGTTTACTTATGTTCATCTTGAATTTTTTCTTTTGCCCAACTTTTTCTTGTGTCTAATTCAGGTTTTGTTTTTCGCTTGCTTTTGGTTTACAGCGTGGTTTTTGGTCTTGTCTCTCACTTTAGCGTTTAAAGTACATTTTACAGTAACATAAGTGTAGGAAAGCTTTTCTGTATTCAAGTATATTAAGCTTTGCCATTGTTAACATGAAGTTACACTCCGTTTTTCATGTCAGTGTAAGCGAGTATATTCTATCCAGATCTGACAGAATAAAGCCAATAAGTGCCGCTTACCGCCTGTCCACCTTCACTTGCCTGAATTTCTCTAAAACCTCAGCTGGAAGCTCCAGGATTATACCGCAAGGCACTGAAAATCAACGGACTGCTTGTTCACGTACTTTCTTCAAAGACAAACTCTTTGGACTATTTGTTTCTGCCAGCCTTTTCTAATGTAGGGGGGCTTGACGTTTGGAGAAATTGATCTTATAAACTGCGTCCTTTATGTATGCTATAGTCGCTGTAGTCGTAGGAATTTCGGTGTTGCTTGTTTCGGTTGTTGCGGTAGGCCGGTGAGTGTTTCGTCGGATGGAGTCGTCGTTAAAGTTGTTTTCTGAAAAAACACGGTCAAGGTATTTGTTCTCGTTGGATGAGCTGTCTGTCGTGTTGCACACTAGTTACACTCGTCTTGTTATAGCTCTAATAGTGGTGGCTTCGTGTGACGTCAGGTTGTATGATGACTCGTCCAGTAATCCGTCGGTATGCGTCGGTTTCCTGTAAACTGATGTCCGTATTGAGTCATCGTCACGGGTCACCAGGCATTTTAGAAAAGGATGTTAACCATTTTCTTCCGTTTCTCCGGTTAACTGTGTGCCACCGGTTAGCTGTGTGCCAGTGTTTTGTCCGTTAAGGTGGTGGTGGAATGCGTCGATTCGTCGTGTCGTAGGTGATCAACATAGCGTAGTCAAATCGGTCTCGTTTGTTGGCAAGTCAAAAGGGCGCGTTCCTCGATGTTCTGCATCACAATTTCTGACACAACAAGGGAAGCTGAAAACCTCATAGTTGTATCGAGTAACTTTTTGTAGTGTTTACCGTTGTACGGAAAGTAAGTTGACGTCAGGCAAAGATTCAGTAAATCTGTGATATGTTCTGTCCGTAGAGGTAATGGGTCGGTAGATGTCTGCCTGCAATGGAGGCCTATAACCTACACTGCACTGCAGGTTAATAACCAGTGTAAAGTATACGCGTGCATTTTTTCAAGCTGTTGACTACTGATGTTTCAATTGGTTTCAAATATCAGCCGCTTACGGTTCGTGCAATGAAAGTACCTATAAAAGCGTCACTGGTATCTGTTCACGTTGGCCAATTTACATTGTCAACTAAAACCAAAATTATCTTGTCATGTTACCTCGCCGACGCAGCACCACAGTTTCTATAGAAACCTACCCATCTATATAGATCAAAGCAAAGTTATCTAAGGGCATCCAGAGCTAAAAACATACCCAAAGAGCAAGATCATTTGAACAGCTGATCGTGTCTACATTTCCATCAGATGCTCACTGGCTGACCAATCCAAGATAATCGGAAGCGGTTAGCAAATGACGTTCGAAGTGCATATGCATTTTAATTGCAATTATTTGTTTGGTAATATTTTTCTGTCACAAAAGCTGAGCGTTTTTGAAGAGCTGCGTCATCATTCCTTAGTCTAGAATGTATGAAAAAGTTACCTTTAAAGCACGAGAAACCTCAAAACAAATGTTAATTTGGTGAGATAAAATAATTGAAATGGGTAAAATTTTACCCTAAATAGGATGAGGTCGGCAAAGAATAAAGAAGATTGAGTCGAATTGCAAAGGGAAGTTTCAATTATGAAAAATTATTAACAAAATTATTCACAACGGTCTTACCTAATGTGCATGGAGGCGAAAAATAAATACTCGCAAATTCTTTATTGCCCAACTTCTTTATTGATTGTGATGTTAAGTGCTCGTGAAATTAATTTTATCCCCTTTACGGCCAGTGGAGCAAAGATACATGCAAAACTGGCCGTGTTTTA